AACAAACGACAAAGCAAGTGATAGTACTACAGCAGGCAACATTGGAAGCCTGTCAGGGAAACTAAAGTTCACGATTGGAAAGAAGTATCTACCAACAGCTGCCTAACAACAAACTCTCCGCTGCATACATCTCGGCGGACACGTAGGACCCCTAGGAACAAGCGCTTGTAGGCGCACGGCGAGGCCTGAACTTTGGCCGTTCAACAACGGGGGAAAAGGGACACGCCGACAAGATTGGGTATTTCGAAACGATCACCCATAGCCTGGACGACAGTTCTCTGACCGCAACATGGTAGGGCCGTGTTAAAACCAAAGAAAGGTCGGGAAACACTGGAATGTTGACAAACCAAAACACAAAATCACACGTGTTATCAGCAACACACGTAAACGACGAAGGCACAAAAACTATCACTCGTCCACCGCTGTTTTCAAGAAAACACAGGTGGACGATAAAGGCACAACAAATCCCTCGCGGAAGGGAAGGTGATTGATGAACGACACTAATATGCACTTGTAGGATCAGTTTGACCCCCAGGGAAATCACAATGGAGCACCCTCGAAACACATCCACGTCTCCACATCCACGTCTCCTACACCAGGAACACATGCCACATTCAACGTACAACGTTAGGCCAAAAAAGAAATGCGCTCACGAGCACCAGACGAGATCCTTGCGTCCCACCATCCCGTACTTCTTGGGTTTCCGTTTGAGCATCTCCGGCCCTAGCGTGCCTCACAGGGTTGTTGAAGAAGCATGCCTGCCACATCAAACACCCCGGTCCCCCGCCTGTTTGCCAACACAAAACTCCGCGCAGGCACATCCTTTCCATGTCTTACTCTTGCATCCGGGGTGCATGCATATGCGTTGAAACCGAAATGCCCCCCCACACTTTCTCCGGGGCACCCGTCACCGCCGCCGGCCTCCCCCACTTGTTCGGTCTACCAACATTGCCCCTCGCCATGAGCTCCGTCGACAACATTTCGTCCCAGACCGCCCTCTCCATCTTGGCCAACCTGCCCAGTTTGACCAACATCCTCTCCAACTTATCCACCGCCTCAAGATCTAGGTCTCCTCCCTCGATCCCCTTGTTGGCCTGACCCTCCAAGAGGGAAACGTAGTCTTTGAACATCACAAAAATGTTGGTGAACGTCTGCTCAAGCTTGCTCTCCATCACTCGTCGCCAGTGGGTCGTGTATGACTTGTGGTCATGGGTGTGGGACCCGTTCTGCTGGTCAGCCGTGTCTACTCTCCCCATGTTGGCAACATAATCCTTGCGCATCCACGGCTGCTGTAGCTCCAAGCTTTTCCCAGCCTGGCCAGCGTTGCGCAGACTGAACATGAACGGGTGGGGACGGGATGGCAGGGGACAGACGAAGCACCTGGGTTGGGCAACACACTATCCACAGCACGAAAGACGCAAGGAAAGAGGGCGTCAGCCCCTGTCAATTAAACAATACACAAGCCCCAAGTACCTTCCCCACCGGTGGTAGAAACCTGTGTGATGAACCGAATACGAAAGGCACCAATGCGAATCGCTGCATGTTGTCAAGCACGAAATCGAGAACTCCATCACACGACGAACCAGTTTGACCGACGGCTACACGAGCGAGCCACCCGACATCAAAACAACGCGATCAACGTGAATCTGGGGAACAACGAAAATAAAAGGTCACCTGTACGGTAGAGGTGCGAAATGGTCGTCGCCGCCGTCGCCAACATCCTTCTTAGGCTCCCCCATGGCGGCGCGAGGTTGGGCGATGTGGATGGAGCTGCACATAATGATTTCCTTCGAGTCGAGCCACTGCACGAATGCGACATTGCCGGCGCGGGCAAAGTGCATCTCTCCCCGCTCGGCGGGGCGGTGATCGAGGCTCTGCAAGTAAGTTACAGTGGTGTGAAAAATGTGTGGGACATCAATGGACATGCGAACGTACCCCCTGTGAATTACACACTAACCAGGCGAATCCGTTGCTATGATAGTCCCAACCGTACGATGGTGCCAGCCTTCAGTATTCGACGCGGAGGGCGGATGGCGGAGGACAATGATATCTACTTTTTGTTGCAGGACATACTGAACCCTTTTGGGTCTGGGAGCTACGTTGCTCGCCGGTCTGCCAGTCCCAGGTTCCGTCTCGACATTTTTTTTTCACCACACAAAAGACCAAGGGAGGAGAGAGTGCGGGAGAGAGGGAGAAGTGCAGGGAGAAAGACAAGTGTACCTCTGTAGACGCCACCACATTCTTTGACTCTCAAGTTTACACTATCATAACATCTATCGCCTTCTCTTTGATCCGCCTGTTCGTGCGGACAATGCCAACAGAAAAACCTACCCGAACACAAACGTACCTTCATACCCAGCGCCCTCCTCTTGGTGGTCATCGAATGCCCGCTTGTAACCCCGCTCCGGAATCTTCTTCATGGCCGTGACCAGCTTCGTACGGTTCTGCGACATGGTAGCGAAGGCGCCCGGGGTTTGCTTGTGGTCTACGCCCCCCTCCCCGATGCTGCCGTCGGAATTGTAGTTGGCATTGTCGTCTTTGCCGTTGGCCTTCGAAGATTTCCTCCCACCGGTCGGTGTAGTCTTGTCATTTTTTTTGGCACCTCTCCCCTCCCCTGGTGCAACCCCCGCCTTCCCTGGAACAACCCCGCTTTCCGCTTCCCTGGCACAACCACCACCTTGAGTTTTTTCCCTGGCGCAACCCCGGCCTTGTGCTTCCCTGATGCATCCCCGGCCTTGTGCTTGTCCTCCGCGTCTGCCTCGCGGTAGGTCGCGTCACCCCGACCTTCGGCCCGATCTCCCCCTTCTTTTTCATAACAGCTCCAGCCTTTCCCCCCGCCTTCCGACTGCTTCTGCTACTGCTGTTGCTGCCGCGGGGGAGAGGTCCCATACTGAACTCGGGATGGCCCCCCTCTTCTCCACCCACCATTGAGGACCCTCCCGCCTTCCCGCCTGCTGTGAAAATCGCTGACGGCAGCAACGTCACCATGCCTAGTTGCAGCTTCGCTGATGCAACGACTTCGACGAAGAAGCAACTGCATCGGGTCCAAGCTGCAGACGGTCGAAGTGGTTGAGGTTATGGTTCTGCTTGCGCGCTAGCCATGGATTCGCGTGCTCTAGATAGAGTAGATGCACCCAGTGATCTCCTTCCTGGTCCATTTTGTCTTCTTTCTCGAACACGAACATGCCTGCCGTGTTGTTTCCTGAGTACGCCTGGACTGTGCCATGCTCAGCGCTTGGCTCCCACACCATGATGTTCACCCCGTACTCCGAGCCCAGGAAGGACATCCAGGTAACGCCAACCCATTCCTCTGCACTGTGCCAGGCTAGATCGCAAAACCACCTAACCGTCTTATCCCCTGCAGCCATCCCGTGTTCAACACCCCCTAAAACATGCGGTACCTCCACACTCAGGGCCCGCCAGAGTTGGTCCTTTGAGAGTACCGCTGACGAGTCCTCAGGGACATCGGGTGCGTCGATAACATGTTCCATGCTCTGCGGGAAATCGCTTCCCGCATTTGCTGTTCCCTAGGAGTCCTTGCTCTACCCAGGCAAATTTGCAGACCTGCACGCAGCGCGCTCCACCCGCATTTGCCATCCCCATCTACAGTATGCACACCAGCTCCGGCCGAGGGGGTGATAACCCTCCCACCTTGTGTCAATGTTGTGCTGCACTGCAAGCTGAGCGCCTGAGGCCCACCGATGTGCTCCTGTACCCTCCGGCCCAAAGCACTCGGTGGGGGAGCTAGCTCCTGCCCCTTGTGGTCAACTTGCAACACAGCTTGGTGGTCCGAGTCCGAATCCGCAGCAGGGGTGTCCATAGCGCTCGTGCGAAAAATCGCTGGAAGCAAGAGAAACAAAAGGCCTCAAGATCGCGTTTCTGCGTGCTGGACTGCGGTCTCTCTTGCACAGCGCGGGTCGGGTGCTCAGCAACGTTGCAACTCCCAAGGTTTGTTTTTTTGTGTAGGGGACGCTACTGCTGCTGTCCCCGTCGTTATTTTGTTCCTTTTCGACGGTCTACTCGTCCTGTCCACCCCTCGTCGACGCAGGTATCCACAGCTCAATTCGGGCTCAATTCGGTTCCATAAATGTCGTGAATATATAGACTATATACATATTTTTTTGGTCTTCACTTCAAATCAGCGCTCACGGCACTAGCGCCGTTTACTCCAACCCGTGGTCACAAAAAAGAGCCCCTCTCTACCCTCCCCTCCTGCGGTACTTTGCCTTCGATTTTTAATGCGAGAAGAGTTCAGCACTCTCTTCCCTCTGTGTACACACGAACTAGCGCTATCCACTAGACCAGGAGCGGAAGCGAGAGAAAAACTCACTTCGCAAGAAAAGCTCGCTTACGCCGGGATTCGAACCCCTGACCTGACCTACCTCTTCTAGAAGGTTTCGAGGTTACCAACTAGACCCCCGGGGCGACCGGCAACCTTACGTACGCGTGAACGGCATGATTAACGTACGTACGTAGTGCGCGCATCAACCTCGTTGCGCTCCTCGTGGAGAAGCGCGTGAACTTTAAACAGTAGGCTAGAGAGACGCCAAAACATAAATTCATGACCCTTGATCGTAGTCTAAATCGGTGATTGTTGTCTGCGAGAAACATCGTGTTTGTTTTGTTGTTTGTTTCTCTCCCATCATTGGACTCTGCCGTCTGCCCCTCTGGCCCCTATCCTCCACTTCTACTGGCTAGACGACCCAACCGGGGTCACAGAGGAGGGGGGGGTTGGACCCCCCTCCTGCGGTTCATGCCTGAGGTATTTTTATCGCGAGAAGGGTACAGCAATCCCTTCCCTCGCGACTTACGAAGTCGATTATGGTTTACTAACAAACGAGCTTTGCAGCGCGTCGCTTTCATCCTAGACCAGGATTTACTTAGTGAGAAAAAAACTCTCCCTGCCGGGACTCGAACCCATGACCTGGCCCTTAGCAGGCTGCGAGGCTACCCACTAGACCACCGGGGCGACCGGTGTGTCAACCCTCGTGTATGCTCACCTGGTCTGCCCAAACCATCGATCGTCGATGCAGAAAACGTGCGCTACTTGGGCGCTTTCTCGATGAGCCAGGGCTAGAGGCTCGTGATCTTCCAGACGTAGGTCCGAGTACTTGAACCATACGATTCCAGCGGCACCTTTTAGAGCAGCAGCACTACCACCAGCAGCGGTACCACCCGCCGACATCATGCTCGTCATCGTCGCACCATGCAGCGTTCGCCGCGAATTGTGGCCCTTGTTGTGGTGATGTCGAGGAATTCCCACGATTGTGGTTCCGGCGAAGAAAGATTGTGAGACCGGCAGCAAACAAGCGAGAGTCGCCACGGCCGTGGGTCTCCGAATGTGTAGAAGCATTCAATGGCTCTGTCGGGTGGTATGCCTCGTCTCTGTGTACGACAGCGCAACGAGAGAGGGTAAGGATGCAACGAGATACTGAATGCTGAGTCATCGGTGGTTGCGCCGCATCCCGACAGTCCCGTGCCCACACTACGTACTACGTGTGTGTTCCTCTCGAGATCTCTGCGTCTCTGCCTCACGCGCACATCAAACCCAGCCCCGTCAATCTCCCTCTTGCAGTCGCCCGGGCCTCATGGGGAAAGCGTGTGCTTTCATCGTGGCCGTTGTGGGCAGCTGTGCCATGGGTATCACGTCCTGCTTCGTGATTTTCACACCTGGACAATCATGTCCCTCTGTCGCCGCTAGTTCCCCCGCTGTCGCTGTTCGCGCCACAACCTGCAAACGACATCATCACCACCTTCAGGCGAAAAAGAAAAAGTCCGACCGTGGCAGACCCTCGCTAGACGATGTAGAGCGGCTGTCGAGGGGCCAGGCTGCCAAAAAACGGGGAACGGGGAGCCGAGGTGTCTGCCACCGTCTGAATGAGTCAGAGCGAAAGGTAGGGAGTTGAAGTCTAGACTACACTATGCTACTGCTGTTGCATCGCTCTCGTTTACTCATGGTTTCGAAGTACGTTTATGTTGAGAATCTTAGTGCTTGCAAAGTTGGGTCTATGTGTTGCTGTAGGATGCCACTAAGAATTGAGAATGCAAGTAGTATTCTCCACTACATCCAAACTAATGCTGCTGCACATGTGTCCACCGCGCTGTGTACTACTGCACGTCTTCAATCTATACCCTTCTAGGCGTACGATCTGGCCAAGAAACAAGGCTACGTGGTTCTAAGGGGCACGGGCTATCGGAGGGAGCGCAAGGGTAGCCCTCTTCAAAACATTTTCAGGCAGTTTTGCGACGCGAAAGCCATACCTTGCACAAGCGTTTTAACGGTGAGCAGAATCAATCGCAGACGCTAGGCAGGCCCTCACCCTTACCTCCAGAAAGCAAGGATTGGTTGGTGCCCTTGAGAACGTTCGTGTAGCGGCAGGACCAACCGGTTCGTTCTTGTTTCTGTGCGGAGGCCCTGCCCGTCGGAAGTGCGTGCACGCGCGTGAGGTACAGCAGAGATGTACACCAGTACATGTTTTGGGCGAGGTTTGGGGGAAACGCTGATGCCTAGACGCTGACCTCCACGCCCGATTGAGACGTGCCGAGCGAGCGGGCTGCTACAGTCTTCACCCCCGAGGGAAATGCATGAAGACAACCAACCCAACCATGGTCCGTTCGTACCTCATCCAGATGCGACACAGGAATAAATACACGAGTGCCCTCCGTTCCTCGCTCCGTGACCTCAGTATCAAAAATGTAACGCCCATGTTTTGTGAGCAGGGCCAGGGGCCTGATGCCGTGGACGAGGTGGAGATTGATTTCTCTCCCCTTAGAACCTCTCGGGAAGTGATGGACTCTCTGTTCGAGCAAGCGGATGCAGTTGCCGCCGAACTCGAGGCGCCATGGGTAGAGTTGGAGTTAGAGTTGGCCGGAGGAGCGGAAGAAGCCGGCGAGACGGTGGGATATTGTTGGTTGTTGGTTGTTGTTCTTGTTGTCGTTGTTGTCGTTGATTGTTGTTGTTGTCGTCGTCGCATTTGCATTTGCAATGGTTGCGGTGGTTCAGGGCCCACAAACGTGAGTGTATGGCCATCTTGTGGGCGAAACCACATGCGTTAGCCGATATTAACGTGGAACACATTTTGTAGTTTTCGGAGCAAGTGCAAGGGTACAGTCGTGGTCGTAGGAGCATCGACAATACATCGTGATACTAAGAGTAGTTTAAACTGCTGCCGGAATCGGCACTCATGTCTAGGGGGAATGGTTCGTTTCTAAGCGTTTTATTGTACAACATGGTGGGGAGAAGGCTGAATTTGTTTCTTGTGCCTCGACGACACTCCCAACAGACTGCCGACGCCGCCGCCTCTTTCGCGGGGGAATCGGCACAACGCAATCAAGATGATGCCGGAACGGAAAAGGCAAAAGAAGACGACGAGCTAGGAGAAGGTGTGGAGGAAGAGGAAGAGTGGACAGGAGATCCGAACAACCGGCCGATATGGAAGTTCCCCGTGGTGTCCCGGGTAAGGAAGCCGGGCCTCCGCCCTTGCTCGCCCCGACATTCGCGTCCGCACGCACGTCCGCGTGTGACACTATTGGCGGAAGCTGAAAACATCTATCGATGTATCCCTCAATTCGTTCTCGAGTCTCGCAGTCGAATGGTTTTGGTTGCATGTTGCGTGATAAGGCGAGGATCAGAAAGGCTGCGCGCTGTGAACGAACGAGGAGCACCTATCGCACCCCCTCTCTTCTCCCGGGGACTTAAAAAAAGCAAAGTGTTGATGCACCGGGAGTTCTCGCGTACGCATTGTGGTCGAGAGGACAGCACCATTCCCAAAGTGTCGTGCTGCCGTTATTGCCCAGGCTAGCACAGCCCTTTGTCGGCGAATAAACAACGAGGATGTGATTTCAATCAACAGCAGTCGTTCACATCAAGCTATCTCTTCTCTCCTACAACAGCGTATAACTTGATGTGCGTAATCGCACCCACCCGTCTCTGCCGCAGGTGTATCGGTGCAACTCCCGAAAGCAGGCGAAGGACGTGGCGGTGGCACTGTCGTCTGTACGGTAGACTGAGACTCTTACCCTCGGCCCATGCAGTTTTTTAGCGATGGTGTGTGTCTTCTTCCGTCTTAATTGCAGTGGAGAGATGCATCACCTGTTGTTACGGGGTAGGGCTGGTGGGCTGGGGGGCGGGGGGAAGGAGTACCCCAACACTTCTGGCTTGGGGCGTGGAGCGGGTTGGGCAATATATAGGGTTGTCTTGGATTGACATACTATACAGTTCATGGATTCATAATAATAACTGAAGTACATCCTCTAGTCGCAGGGAGGGCCTGATGCCAGCTGATGCCTCCGGTACGCCGATATCTTCGAAGGCTGTTAAGGAAGAAGAAACAGGAAATTCGTGGGTGTTTGGGTTCGTCACACCCATTGAATGATCCTACTCGTTATAGACCGGCGAGGGTGTCTAGTCACTCAAGGAAGGATGTCATCCCCGTCGGGGTAAGTGGGCCTCGTGCAATCCGACTATCAAGGTTATCTTCGGGTGTGCTGCCTGCCCTACCGAAGGCGTAGGCTCTGTCAAATGCTGTGTAAGGATGCTCGTAGCTCGCTGCTCGGCGTGAAATCACCGGTGCAATATGTTTGACGATTGGTTTTTACGGCTACGTTTCGCTGTGAATGGTGGTATCTCTAGAATTTCATAATTCTAGGGCAATTCGACTCGCCACTCTGGCCGACAGTCATGAGCTAATCTTTGCTCATCGTGATGTCAGCATTGCCGCCGTGCCACACCGTTTCGTGCACAAGGTGCATAGCGAACGTTGTTCATCCCTTCCCGTAGCCCGCATCTTTGACAATGTATGTCTATGGTTCGTCGGATATGCCCTTCTCTCCATAGAATACGTCCGAATGCATGCAAAGAACGGACCGCCAAGCAAGGTGAACCATCGTTATTTTTCCCGCGGAAGTGGATCGCCCCCGCGAAAGCGACGAGGGGCTCGAAATCCCTCATCGCGTGTGCTTGTTTTATTTAGTAGAAATACACTTGAACGCCAAGATTTTACAGGAGGTGCCCCCTTGCACCGCGCTACAGCCCTCCCGTCTCTATTTCAACATCGACTTAAAACACACAAATTATAGGCGCCGAGACCGCAGCCGCGTGGCAACGTTTTACCGGTCGGACACTGGGAACACTACTTCCATGGGCAACTACCGGGCGCACTTGCAAAAAGTGCTTCGGAACTAGCCAACGGTCACTTCGATTTTCTGCGTCTCCCCTTTTTCTTCCCGCTGCTGCCGCCGCCGTTCCCCGACAACGCGGAGGAATCCCTCCTCCTCCTCTCTGCTGCTGCCCTTCGATCGTCATCTACGTTTCCTAGCTTGCCACACTCCGCCACCCCCCCTTCTGCCACGGCTCCTTTGCAACCGTTTCCGCCGCCCCCGCCCCCTGCCCCCACAGCAAAAGGTGCCGTTACTGCCGTCTCAAAACTGTTCGCAGCAGCGGCAGCAGTAGCATCAGAAGCGTCGTCGGTGCTACTCCCTCCACCACAGTCGCACCCTCCGCTATCGCCCTCTCCGGTGCTGCTACACCTAGACCTACCGCTCCCTGCCTCCGCACCCGCGGCCGACCCTGCTTCTGCTGCTGCTGCTGCTGCTATTGCTGCTCCCCCCGTTCCCGCTGCTGCTGCTGCCGCCGCCGCCACGCCAACATCCAGCTTGAGCATGAGGGCCGCGACCTTCTCCTCGAGCTGGGGCACCCACTCCTCGCGGGCCTTGCGGGCGGAGTCTAGGTCCCGCTGCGCCTGCTCCAGGTTTGCCAGCACCTGCGGCTTGTTCGCTTCGAGGGATTGGTTCAGCTCCTGTGCCGACAAAAGAACAGAAAAACAGAAAGCGGCGATAAGAGTCTTAGTGTGAAGTCGCATGCAAAAACTGTTGTACAAGGGCTTATGTTCATGAACGCGACGCTAACCAGGGCGGGCGGAGGCGGAGGGTGGATGGACCAGGGTGGGGGTGTGCTCATAGTCTTGCATGCCGTAGTCGTTAGACCATTGACCTCGCATCCCTACAAAGCCGGGACGGAGCACGCCGGGTTCTCACCGGACCAGGCTCTCACATCACCAAGCGCGAAGCGCCGTGAGATATTCGGCGAGTCGCATGAAGGGTGCGCTGCATCCTGCTAAGGGTGTTCGGCATCTTGTGCTTACTTCCTTGCGTACGGATGACAGCTGCGTATGAATTAATTTATTTTCTGGTGCTTTCACTTCCAGAGACAGTTGTAAGCACTGTGTAACTGCCTCGAGGGTGCTTGACCATTTTAACACAACGTGGTGCGATCATCCCCCTTGCGCGGAGTGAGGGTTCTCCACCCCGCACAACATGATCTACTCGACCACCATTATGGCTACTGCCAAAAAAAAAACAGAGGTAAAAAATCAAGAACGAAAACCTGGTTGCCGAGTTCACGAAGTGAATTGGCTTGTTTTACAACGTCGTTGCCAAGCGACGAAAACCCAACCCCGATGGAAAACGCCGGGGGGGTGGGGTGCCAACAAAATCTCCTTCTTTTCTTGTAGCCAATGAACCTCGGGACCGACAGACTTACCGCGTACCGGGACACGTAGGGCAACGCGCAGCTGATGTGTGACAAAGTGACAAACAAAAAACGCTATCCGAGTAACGACAACAACAATTGTGGTGTGCTTGTATGTACATACGTATAGAAACGCCGTCTCCTCTCGGATCTTTCGCAGCCTGGCCGAGGCGCTCGCGCACTTGCTCTCCAGCTCCCGCCGCTGCTGCCGGAGGGCGGACACGAGGTCGGCCCCGGACACCATCCTCTCTCTCCTCTCCCTCCGACTCTTCTCCTGCTGCTCCAGCAGCCCGTTCAGCTATAGTTCGCGTAATGGCAGGAGCGAATGGGTGCACGGGGCGGAGGGGTCATGCGAGTGGGGGATGGGAGCTTGCCGGGGTACAAGAAATAGGGAACAAGTAGGGGTACCAAGCGGCCGGCGAGCGAAGCGGGGGAAAGCGAAAGGGGCGAGGGGCGGCAAGAACCCGACTTGCATTTGGTGGCTACACCTGCGGAAAGGTAGTGCCGAACGAGGGGCCAACCCAACGCGGCCCACCAACTGGCATCCCCCTGAACAGAAAAATCAAACGAAAGAAACAGCCAATAGATCGACCTAAACCAGAACTAAATTAAAAAAGCAAGGGTGGAGCGCGGTGGGAGTGGGTGCGGTTTTTGCTGCACAGGCTTTGCTTTCTGCGGAAGGTCGGCTTCACACACCTGCTTCTGGTAGAAGTGCCGCTGCTCGTCCAGCTGGCTTGTCAGCAGCGTATTGTACTGGTAGGCCAGCCCTTCAAGCTTGCCATGGATCAGGCGCTCCTCCTGTGTCCTCGCACGACGGGGGGGATAGTAGGGTCGACAAGGGAATTAAGCGACCAGCCCTTAGCGTTGCTTTGATTTTCTTGTTTTCGCTAGTCCACCGGTAAATGCACCCAAAGGGCCAGGCGAAGGTGAGGGCCCGACCCGGGGAGTCAAGAGCGGAGGAAACGAAGAGTGCGTAGTACACCTGCTTCGTGGACACACAATGCGCACAACATGGACTTTGCTGCCGCTACTGTTGCTCTACGAGCAGAAAATGTCCCTCCCTCGCCTGCGGGGCAAGGGTTAGCGAACCACGCAGAAAACACTTGCCGGTTTGCTTCCGGCCCCCGAAAACTAACTCCTCAAGCTGACACAAGTGATGCCACAAGAGGGTACCGCACACGGCACCATCACCACATCGTAAACATCGTACTTGGACATCCGACAGACGAGCGGGCATCTGTGGTCGCTCCTCCGACGTCTGCTCTGGGTCCGAAATCTCCACGAGCTTCCCGTCTGCCTTGTTGTGGATCAGGCGGTGGACAAATCCGTCTCCCGCGAAGTCCCACACTTGTTGGGTCTCTGATGCCGCGCGCGGGGGGGGGGGGCGTTTGATAGTCGTGAAACGGCT